GAACCGTTGTCGCCCAAACTCACACATAATTTTAAACACTACAAAATCTTGATATTGATTGGTCATAGTTTCAAATTAAAAAAAAAACAATATGGTGGTTGACCATGGGACCTCTATAGGACCCGAAACGTGGGTTTGTTTGAAAAAACAAACATACGTGATTTAAATCCGGAAAAATAGTTTCATTTCCTAAGAAAAAACAAATTCTGGGTTGTTAATATAATTTAAATTTTACCCTGTCGGCATAACGTTGAAAGTTTATTACCATCAATACCTATTAGTAAAAGTTACGACGTTTTGATATTATATTGAAATTTCAACCAATGTGCTGCCATCTAACGGTTCATTGCTGTACGACGACGAATTGGAGTTATAAAATTAGTTTTCCAAACAAGAAGCGACCATACTGCAGGGGTATAAGCTTTACTTTTGTTTCTTGTAACAAGAAAATTATTTCGACAAACAGAAAATTGAAAATTTATTAAAATAAGACTTTCCGATTATATAAAATACTATGACAGGTAATATTTTTACTGCGGTTATCATTTTTGCACTCCAAAACAGCACAATAATAATAATAAATTTTCTAGGATTTTAGAGAATTTTCGCGAAAGAATGACACAACCATACTATACAAAGCGAAAATGGCCTATTGAGTTCACATAGGTCTTTCGAGACCTATAATTGGCACGCGTCCGACGCTAACTAACCACTTCTACTGTACATAGGGCGCACTATAAGTTTCCGGAACTGGCCACTTACATAAACAATATTTAAAAATTTTGAAATTTGAAAATGGAACTCTTTGGCTGTGGAATACAGATTGTTTCATCCGACAGTCGCTTGTTTTTACATTGTGGCGTCATTATAGAAATTGGTTGTCTATATCACCATGGATTTAACTCGTGAAAATCTTCGTAGTGTGATTTTCTACGACTTTAAATGTAATTTAATACCTCAGCGGAGCTTTACTCGGCTTTAAACTGCATTTGGCAATGAAGCACCATGCAAGACGACTATTTGTAGCTGGTTTGCAGAATTCAAACGCGGTCGTGTAAATCTCAGTAACGAATTTCGTGATGGTCGCCCGTCCACTGCTGTGAACAACATGAACATCGATGCTGTGCGCCATATGATCAAAACAGACAGGCATGTGACATACCATGAGATTCGGTCATCTTTAGGCTTAGGCATGAGTCAAATACAATCAATACTATACAAACGTTTGGGTGTGAAAAAACTGTGCTCTTGGTGGGTCCCACACAATTTGACTGAGGCTCAAAAAACGGATCGCGTCGCTTGGTGCAATGCCATGCTTACCAGATTCAACGAAGGGGCGTCAAATTTGGTGTGGGACATAGTAACAGGTGACGAAAGATAGATTTATAGTTACGATCCCAAAACAAAGCAGCAATCGAGCGTGTGGGTCTTTCGAGATGAGCCGAAACCAACCAAAGTGGCGCGCTTGTAAAGTGCGTCTAAGTGGCTTATTGCTTCTTTTTTTAATAAAACTGGACACGTGGCTACTGTTGCTTTGGAGAATCGTTGTACCGTGAATAGTGATTGGTACTCAACCATATGTTTGCCGGAATTTATTGACAAACTCCGTAAAAGTAAACTTCGTATCATTTTGCACCACGATAATGCCAGTTCTCACACGGCCAAACAGACAAATGAATTTTTGAATGTGAACAACGTTAACCTTATGAGCCATCACGCGTACTATCCTGGCCTGGTACCTTGTGACTTCAAAAATTAAGAACCAGTTACGCGGTCAACGATTTTCATCACCTGAAGAGGCTGTCGAAGAGTATGAAAAATATGTTTCAGAGATTTTCACGGAGGAGCGACATAAATGTTTTCAAAATTGGTTCATTCGTATAAAGAAGTGCATTAACGCTAACGGAGAATATTTTGAGAAACAATAAATTCATTTCTGACTATTGATAGTATTTTTTTTATATTCATTCCGAAAACTTATAGTGCGCCGCACGTATTTATTGTTCTGTGTTCTTCACTCTCATTACATGGACATCAAGCTTTTTTTGACCAGCTTATTGCAATTTCTAGTAGAAAGGTACGTATGGTGATACCCTACTTTTATGCGTTCTTAACAATTACAGGTTTCGGCAGAATATTCGTGAGAGCAATGTACTTCATAGTCATAGCTAAGGGCGCTTACAAATTGGACGCTTGAAGAAACGCTGCAGTGGCGCGCTTCAGTATTTTTTTTGAGCTTCAGTAATTGTAACTGCAAAAGTGGTGCGGGCGTGTCACAACAGCAACGCTGCAACTGTTTCTAAAATATTGTACGAAAATTAGCAAAAGTAAGCAGCGTCTAATTAGAAGGCACCCTAAGTCATAGATTAATTTGATATTTTGTTCAAACTGTTCATTACGTCATTACAACATTAATTATGTTAAATAAATTAATTTAGTTTTTCAATTATTTTAGAAAATTATCAAAATAAAAACGATCACAACCTGTGAAAAGAACTAAAATATTTTTTACCTTTTTCATAACCTAAATGGACTTCTAATGCGCTCTATAAGACAAAAAATGAATTGCGATCTTAATTTAACTACCTAAGCTCTTAACTACAATTATAACTACTTTACATTAGGCTACAATAATAAGGTCATAATTGTAGATATATACATAAGATCATACTATAATATTACGTTATTCTTTGTACAACATTTGATTATTACATTTGACTACTATAACAATAAATTTACATATTTTTTATTAAATTTTGATATGCTATCATTCTACGACTAGAAGTTATTAATAGTTTCTTGATGATATCACATAACTATATAAACATACAACACTTCTTTTCTTATTTGGTCGTCTGATAGATCTCTAAAAGGACTACTTCATGGTGAAAACAAGAAGTTAGTAGAATTTAATCGGAAGCATTATTGTTCCAAAATTAAAATATCTTTATAAAAATGCGTGATTTGTCCAGTTAAATCAAGAACTCAAGCTCTTGTTTGGTTTTAGCTAAAAGTATTAAGAGAGTATAAAAAATAAGTAGTATATAATTCCATACAAATAAAGCAATGGAGTTAGTATGTGTGCACGCACACCGATCGCCGTGTCCGGACGCACACATTGGCATAAATCACGTGTGGCACTCGAGTTGCACTAGAGGTGGGCGTTTAAACGAAAAGCACTTAAAAACTCTGCTTTTTAAAAAAAGCGCTTAAGCACGCTTTTCATTTTATGCGTAAGCGTTATTTTTAAACCTGAAGTCTATGCGCTTAAACGACTTTTTAAGCATCAAACTAAAAAGCGTTTAGGTGAAAAGCGCTTTTACAAGCACGCTTTTTAAACGTACGTTTTAAATTAACGTTTAAAAATATAAATAGCTTTTCCCATCTTTAAGTTGCAGTGCGGGTTGCACACGCCGTTAATTATAGAATTAATGCATGCGGTCAGTGTTTGATGACATCAATTAACTAATAGACGCGTTACTGGTCGATTGAACGAGATATTTATAATATGACGGCGTGTCGAGAGAATGGGCTCGGTGGCACCGATTGCTATGACGATTTCCCTCGGATTGTAACGTTATTGATTTCTAAACGAAAATGATTCGATTTAAATCAAATTATTTCTAAACGCATGTTGAGGTAACACCGGACACTGGAAGAAAGGCTCAGCTGTCACTGGCGCAAGAAGGGTCGTTCTTGACAACGTTAGCGCGGTTCGCACGCATTCCACGTGTCCGGAACGTCTATTGTTTATCCAAATTAATCTCCATTATTTCGTAATGTTTATAATTATAATTAGATCTAACTATTAAATTGAGGCTCAAGCTACGTTACACCGTTTTTATTTTTTGATACGCCTCGCTCAAGATACGAATTAACGCAATATTTGGACGACACGAATACTGACCCACCTTTGCTTATTTATAGAAACATATTTGATTTCCATTTCATAACCATGGTCTCGCAAGTAAGATGCGCAATGCTGGTATAAAAATATCAATATGAATTACTGCGTTTGTCAAATATTATTTCAATATTTTATGAGAATACTGTGATATACCTTAATTTTTTAATTACAGAATTCACATATTTGGCTGGACACGTCGAAAATGCAGTGTTAATCATTGTTTGGCGGTATTAAAACGTCACTTGAATATTATTTACGTACGTTCTATGGAAATTAAATTGAGCAAACAAATAGTGGTGTCACGTACATTCGATATTATTCATGGGGCGGATATAATTATTGAATTGTTGAGTTAAAATCTGTTATTACCACTTTGTCATAACTTCTGTTGACACATCGCACCTCCGGCGAAACTGTGGCTATACATAACATTTGAAAAAAATTACAGAAAACAAGATGATAGTTTTATTTTTTTGTTTGTAAAGCTACAGAGTATATTTAAAGAGTTCTTCAAATGCGTCTGCTTGCGGAAGGCTCGCTTGTTTCGCTGTCACTCGAACAAACGAAGACTTGAGCGTGAATGACGCTCTGTATACGATTTTAATGCCCTATAAGTTCGGACACTTTTTAGCGCGGACCCGACGTCCATATAATTGTAAGTCAATGAGTTAAGCCAACATTATACCGTTGTTGGTGCGGTATTTTAACATTGATTCTCGATTTCACTAATCGGGTCCATCACTATTTCATGAAGTTTGACATCTGTCATTGTCATGTGGGAAAATTTTAAAGCGTATGGTTGATTTAAATTTTGATCAGAAACAAAATAAAAGTAAGAAGCTAAGTAAAATATTATTGTGTAATTTGTGGGAGGTACCGGCCTTGTTAATGGCGTCGTCCGCCATGTTTTTTATATTATTTTTACAAAACCACCGTACACAGTCATTTTTACTTGACATTGGCGAAATCATCGATTATTTCGATGCGGCCATAACATTTAAAAGAAGAAGAAGATTTAAATTTTAGGGCAAATCACACATTATAAAGAAGAAGGTGAGATCTACTGGGTGAAGACGACCAAATAATTCAAAGGCTAGGTGCCGCACTTCAATATCTTACGGAATGCCTTTCTGAACTCAGGGTTGAAGATTGTATAGATGACAGGGTTCAGAAACGAGTTGATGTAGCCCAGCCAGGTGGTGAGGATGAAAGCTGTGACTCCTGGTGAGTATTCTTGGAGGTCCAGCTTGCCACAGATTGCGTCGAACACATTTATTGTGAAGAACGGTGTCCAACAGAAAAGGAAGACTCCTGCGGGTAGAAAAAAATAATATTAATCAGGCAAATGCCTTCAAGTTACTTACCTATTATCGGTGTTTTGTAGAAAGGGCGTAAACGACATTTTGTGGATTTTTTACGGGATCATGTTTTAGGCACTACTTAATAAAATTGAATGTTAAATCAGGACGTAAATATTTTAAAACAGTCGTTAAAACCTGACATCCTCCCCCGAAAAATCTACGATATGTTGCTTACGCCTTTACTACAAAACACCGACATTATGTGCAGATGTGGCAAGATTTGGCAAACAAATTCTAAATTGAGATTAATACATTTCTTTCTTTAGTTATCACACAAAAAGATTAAAAGTCATAACAATAAAAATAATATAATTTAATTATAACACAGAAATACGTGTATTTCAAAGAAGAATGAATAAGTAAATTACTTATGAGCCTGTACTATGAGCACTTGAGTTACGAAATTAAGGCTGCCTTTCCACCAGAGATGTGCGACGTAGCGTGGCGGTGTGCGAGGAAAAATCCACCAATAGGATTACTTCGTTTTCCTATCCTCGCTTAGAACAGCTCCGGTGGAAAAGGGTTAGCGGACCTAAGTGTTTGTACCTACATACAAAATAGCGAGAGATGTGAGCGAGGAATGTGTGTGTGGGATGCGGGCGAGGAAAGTGTGTAAAATTGACACTGAAACGTCGCCACCGCTCACCCCACCTCACCGCCTCGCTATGTCGCACATCTCTGGTGGAAAGGCAGCCTAACACCAGAACACCCAGGCCAGAAAAACTCACATCAATCACAGGGCGTCGTCTCCTGTAATGACAATCGTCTCTGTCATTTTGAAAAAAGGAAGATAAATTTAATAAAATAAATTTAACTTATGTTTGTCGGAATCGATGTCATTTAATCATTGTAAGAATGGCTGGTTTCTGTGTTGAACTTAGCTTCTCGTGAATTATAGTGATGGGATACTGCACAGTTACTTATTCTCGGTCTCAATTTACGTCTAAAAGCGGTTACACACGATAACTTCTAGCAGCGATACTGCGATTTAGAAGAGAGTAGAAATAATTTCTTACTACGCCACAACACAAAAGTACACAGTAAGAAAGATAAAAAAATGTAAATTAAAATGAAATACAAAAAGTAAAAAAAATCATAGTAATAGGTAATAACAACAAAGCAAACATTAAATATTCAACACAATTAGCATAAATTTGACAAGTGCGTAAATAAACCAAAATAAATAACGTAAATATTTATGTAACGTAGCATGTTGTGTTCTTGGGGCGTTTTCTTTTACATGTATAGAATACTTAAATAATTAATTGGATAGGTAGGTACATACAGTGATAAGTGTGCGTAATGGAGTGTCCAAAATTTACAACATATAAAATATTAACGTTGTGTCGATGCAAACGCACGTTCTCATCGCGATTAGCCGTCGATGCCGTCGCTTATGTTGAATCATTAAGAGCTCTCATGCCAAAAAAGTTTTGACGTTGTCTCCGCCCAAATTTGTGCAACAAATATATGCCTGAAGTTCGCGTGACATGCGACAGGAGATGTTGAATTTTGCGCATTAAAAGTACCAAATTCGTTTTAGCGGAATAACTCTAAAACTAAAGGGATTAAATAAAATCAGTAGTGACAGTTCTCGATCATGCATAAATATAATTTATTATCTAATTTTTGTCGTAATAACCTGTAGCATTTCGAGGATGAATCGAAAAAATGTGAAAACTAGAGGTCATTTCGTGATTTTTATCTATCGAGGAAACTTTATTGTTCTATGTTTCTGATTAGTGTCTATGCTTGAATATATCGTGTAGTTACTCATACAATATTTTATTTTCAACTTTAAAGTGGATATACCCTTCTAAAATCAAATCGAAGATTAGGAATTTTTGCTCTGCTCCCTCTTAAAAACGTTAATCGCGCGTGATCGTGTACCAGGATTGCGCGCGGAAAAGTCTGCACGTGCAATCCCGCGCGATTGCTCGTGATAATTTTTATTACAATGGAAGATCGTCCGTGTAAAAGACAATTATAAAACGCACGATTCATGAGTGCAATCGCGATGTCTTTCCCTTTTCCTTCCAACATCTTTACACGCGCTCTCAATCGCACACGATAGCTGTATCACGCGCGAAAGAGTGCTTTGCCCTCTATTGGATCGCTGCAGATACTCAACGTAAAGTAGCAAATGTTGTCCGTTGCCGGTGTCGGTTGATAATGCTAGTGTCGCTTCGTGTTTAAGCCATAGTCTGCGACATTGGCCCTTTGCGGGAGCTAAACATTGTTCCAAGGCTTGTGAACCGTCTTCGACATGTAGGTTTCACCACGTTGTTTTCCTCCATCGTTAGTTTATCATCATAATGTATGTACATAATTACTAAGAAGTTTATGGCGCTGTGAAATTTATAACTACATAATATTAGTAATTCACAGGGGATAGACGCTCATGCATCATCTCACAAAACCTCAAATGAAACGGTACGAGAAGCGTGTTAAGACAGTGCAAAGCGTGAATTTTATTTTGATTTACTGTGAGACACAGTGCGCACCGCCGCCGGCACTACCAGCAGATGTTGAACGCGTAGCTGTATATTAAATTTATTTAATGTGACACAAACAAATCAGAGCAATCGGAATCTCCTAGATGCTGCCAATAGTAGTCAGTAGAGCATAAAATTAAGTCTTACTACTAAAGAATTAAACCCCAAAACGACAAGAAACTCAGCAACGTGTTCTGGATTTTCTTCAGAACCTGATCCCCGATTTAGAAGTCTTCGGTATATTAACCGATTCGTTCGATTGGATATTGTTCTCGAATCGAAGGGCGCTTTCCGAGGTTTTCAGAACATTCTGAATTAAACGTTCGGTCCGGATTCGGATACGATATCGTTGTCCATCAGCGTTTACGAAGTCGGTGAAATAGATTATATCCGCTCACGCGATTCATGCGTCTCTGGAAGCATACCACACCTAGAGGTGCCGGTGATGATTTTATACCGATTTATCGGATATCGAAGTTATAACAGGTAAAAGAACTAATACTAATTGCTATTTCGGTAACTACTCTAGCAAACCATAAAGTTTTTAATGCCTGGGTCTGTCATTTAAAAAAAATAAACAACTTCAAAAATACGTCACGACAATCGTGTGTGTTATTGTTTGGGCTGGTGATGTCGGTGTTTATTTATTAAAAACATACCTTAAGTTGCGTTTTTTAAGTTTACCCTGAATATAAATGCTTATAAACTATACTTTAAGGAGTAATTTCATGGTAAACATTAGAACCACTCAAACGGAATATTATCATATTTACCCAAGTACACCAAAAATTTCATTAGTGCTTTTTAAGTGCAGGATTTGCGGTGTATTGTGATTTGCGGTACTGCATTTTATTTGAGATGTTTTTGTTGTAGTACGGAGGGTATTTATTTAGCAATGCAGAATAATAATTTTTATTTTTAAAAACTTGTATTTAAACTGAATCCTTTTCTAATTTGCGAAACCAAATAGCCGCCATTTTGCGGTAGGATGAGCGCATCGCGTGAGCGGATAAGAAAAATGAAACTCCTTTTACGTACACTTTTAAGACTTGAATGGCCTAAAATATAGGAATGCATTAGTCTTACATTAAAATAAGTTAATAAAATTGCACAAAATCCAGATTTTATTTAAAATACTAAGAGATTTCCATATTACATTCTTGCTTTGTAAACAATAGGACGTTCGGTAAGTTTCATTCGATAACTGTGTTCTGAATAACGTTTGTAACCTTTGCCTGTTCAGAAGTTCGAGTAATCATACGGGTGTGACGTCATTGCGATTCGGTTTCGAATACGACAGTTTGACGTTCGATTCGGGTGCTGTGAATTAAAATGAAAAGAAATCGGTCAACAACTGAGTTATCGTAAGGTTCTGAATTGACCCTGTGCTCAATTTACAGTCACGAGATTCGATCCGTCCACCACTCAAAAGAGAAACATCTATTCTCCCAATTAACTATCACCGCTATGAGACTTTTATAGGTATAAAAATAATATATCCCACGCTTCTAAAAGCCCTGTATTACTTTTACATAATATAAAGGCGCACGTACGAAGCCAAAGTTGCCTTATTAACTCGTTATTAAAATGATAGCGTGTAACACAGTCTTAATTTTACGTGGCTTCAGCAAACTTCGTCCGGGGCGGTATGAGAGAGATGTTTACGAAGCTATCAACGCTTGATGACGGCGAAAATTGAATGACATTGGTATATTATACTTTAATTTTCACGATGACCAGCACCAGGTCTCATTGTGTTGACCCATTGACTAATCCATGGGTAATTTCATTAACCTGTTGCATGACATAAGGCAAATGTCCATAATAGAATGTCTTGATGGAAATAATTAGACATCAATAGGTGATTTTAAAGTTTTATTGAATAGATATTCAATTATTTTTTGTGAAATTACTCCACTAGTTTGTTGTAATCATTATATTTTTATTGAATGGATATTCAATAAAAATTTAAAATACAGTGAATAGCGACATCTCTCGCTAGGATTAGTAGCTGTAAAGGTACTAACTGGGTGATAAATCTTTCATAGATTTCTCATAGATGGCGCTACGACTAAAAAGTCGTTGAAAAACCAAATACAAAGACACGACGCAAGCACATAGAAAAATTCGCTGGGTCCGTTGGTTCGTTCCGTGGCTTAGTTGGTATAGCGTCTGGCACGGTATGCAAGAAGACGTCGGTTCGAATCCGACCGGATAGAAAGAATTTTTTCTGAGTGTTCGATCTTTGTATTAATGATTACATCAATAGGTGATCTTAGAAAAGCGTATGTTCTAAATATCATAAACGGTAATGTCGATTGCTTTAACTTATTGGGTGATATTGATTTCGTTTAATGTAAGGACAACGGCACACCAGACTACACATTTTTGTTCGAAAATCGCCTCCAGTGCAACGGAACAAGATAATGTGTCAATGTGTAGCTTGTTGTGCTGGCGTTTGTACCTACGCGTTTTATGAAACACTGTCACCCTCTTGCAGTTCTCTTAGCGAGGGCTAATTATAGACAAAATAGTTTTCTATGTAGAATTACCAAGAGCTTGGATAGTGTGCTGAGCAATCATGACCTGGATTTTGATAATATTCAATTGTAATGTTGAACGCTAAAGTAAAAACTCATGGACATTCTATTCAATTTAATTGAATAACTTGTGATTTTTGGCGCAGGTGTTGGGTTTCTACTTTTATGTAAGTGCATGTTTTTAATGGTGGCACTTCACCCGGATATGCGTATTTGATATTCTTGGCAAACAATCACTATGTGTAGGTAGCATGTGGGACAAAGTATTTGCCTTGTTTGCCTATTCGACAAATACAGCAAACACCAAATTCGCGTTACCGCGAGCTGGTAGGCTTTTCGACGCATGAGCGTCGCAAAACCGAATAGGCAAATACACACTCACACATATTACGATTGCTTATTTATAATTATTCCATGAATATTTTTGATATTACTATGTAATTTAACTCTTATTCTAGATTTTATTAGATTCAGTCAACTTTTACTAAAGAAATATAGTGTTATTTGTTAAAATTATAAATGGAAAAGCGCCCAGGTTTTAACCCGGCGCAAAATCAAGGGCAAAAACTATTTACAATTAAATATTTTGTTCAAATTAAATGATAATATTAATAATGGATTTGCTTAAAAATCATATTGATATCATCAAGCAGCCTAGAGGCTCCATCCATCTTCGTATATAGTTCTCCCCCATGTTTCCGCATTTATGTCGTTCCCGTGTCACATGCATCCAGTTGCGGCCCCCGAAAATTTTAATGTTGTAAAAGTTGCGGACGACTTCTGCCGCGCGTGTTGGCCCATGGTCGCCACTCCATAATCCTCCTTGTCCACCAATCTGGATCCGTCCTAGCTATGTGTCATTGTCTCAATTTTGCATACAACGTCCACGTCTTTGGTTATCCAATCCTATGGTTATCCGATCGAGCAATGTCATTCCTAACATTGCTCTTTCCATTGCCCACTACTTCGCCTGAGTCGTTGTTTCCGTGTCATAGGTAAAGTAGCAGGACACACTGGTTTAAGACCTTAGTCTTTAGCCTTTGCTGTATTATTGATATAAAATACAAAATGTCGTTAGACCTTTGCACTTCAATCGTTATTCATAAAAAAGCGAATCGTAATGTGCATCCCTTGATGAGAATCCTCTTTTTCGTCCAAAAAGATTTTTTATGTCGAAATTTGTAATAAGTATGGAATTATATCGAATTCCGTAATCTCCGTTTTTGCTTACGATTTTGGACAGAAATGAGTTAACCTCGGTTTTGGGTAAAAAGTAGATCAAAACCTGGTTAATTTGGTTATAACCGCCTATCTCTGGTCTAAATTGTGTTTTTTTTAACTTTTTTTGGTTTCACTTAAGTGGTTTTGATGTGTATGTTGGGTTTACATATGAGTGTTTGTAGCAATTAGAATATTTGTAAAGGTACTGATTATTAGGCCCAACAAGTAATATTGTACACAGACGTTAGTAAACCTAATAAATAAATAAATAAATGTATCTAGTCAAACGTGTTATAATAATTTATTTTCTATATAGTTTTAAATGGAAATTTCGTTTGTATTACTTGTGCCTTCCATGAAAAGCTTTCCATTTTCTAGTCGCTTCCCCGAACATTGTTTAATCGGAGATCGGTGTGTGTCGAATGGAGGTAACTGGAAACCACAGTGCCTTCATCTGCGTATGACATGGTCGATTTCATGTAAATTATATGTAAATAAAATATCCACTGCTATCAAAAATAGATAGTCGATAGCAAAAAGTGTCAATATTTACGCAGCGCCTTATACAAACATCACTTTTATATTCAGGCTATAAGGAATAATACACAATTGTGGAAAAACTGCCGAATAGGAAGGATGTTCTGTTCATAGTTGAGAAAAGTTAAATGGCTCTCGTGAGGACCAATTTTCGTTTCATGACAGATAGGCTGTTTTAAGACGTGTAGAAATGTACTTGGATGGATGGAAACACAAAAAGAAACCTATCCACTAGATACTTACGACTTTCTTGTGTTTTTTTTGTGAACGTTCTTGAGAGTGATTGATGTATTAAGAGATTGATAGATATGATTGAAGAAAGAAATCTAAGGCTTTCATTAAAATGAGTAACTTACAACACAAGTACTATTCTAAAGATTAAAATAAAAAAAAATGTACCTATTTATACACAAGACAAGGAAGTTCTCAAGAGTTCACTAGGGACACTATCAAGAAGACTTAGATCTGGGGGTCAATTCATAACCTTACAATAATTCAGTTATTGATTGATTCGATTTGATATCGTGCGATTTCGTTTTTATTCACAACAACCGAATCGAACGTCAAACTGTCCTATTCGAAACCGAACCGAAATGACGTCACACCCATCAAAAATGTTAAAAATGTATATAAAAAGACTTTCATTTTTTTTCTAATCTATTTCACCGATTAACTCCGCAAATGCTGTTGGGTAACGATATCGTATCCGAATCCAAATTTGAACGTTTAACCGAATAGCTCGGACAGTGCCCTTAGATTCGAGAACGATATCCAACAGAACGATTCGGTTAAAATATCGAAAAGTTCTGAATCGGGTTCCTGAACCAATTTTGAATGGTTGACTGACTAAATTCAGAAATCGAAAACGAAACTATTTACAACCGAATCGAGCAACCTGTGACCGGACACAACAAGGCCGTAATCGTATTAAATAAAGCTAAGTGTACAAAAAAGATTAAAGACTGCGTTTCTGATATTAAATTTTCACCTATAATTATTTACAAAATATACTTTTCGGAATGACTTGGACTATGAAGCAAAATTTGTCATGGAAGACTTGTTCGCTTTTTCTATTATACCCCTTCATTCTTTAGTATTTTATTATTTACTCCTATTGTTTGAGAAAATCCGTAAATATAACTTAATTTCATCCAAAATGTCGCTTCAGTGATTCTTCCTTTTCTCTGTCAAATTATATATACAGGGTGACAAGTTGAACGAGATAAATATTTAAAGAGGCGAATGTGTAGCTGATACCCATACCGAATATATAAAAAACAACACGGAAGAATTTTTTAAGGAAAATACTGCCTCTAACATTTTGTAATATTCTGCGCAAGCTTTGAATGAAGGGAAAATTGATAATAATAGTACTCTTTAAGCACGAAGGCTTGACACGCGGGAGTTCAATTTTCTACCACTCAGCTGTTCTGTTTCATAGAGTAGCCCAAATAAAGAGTGTGTTAGTATTTATAAAACGGCACGAAACTTTTTCTTATATTTAGAGGCGATTACTTACTTAGGCAGTACTCGTTTGCCTCTTTAAATATTTATCTCGTTTAACCAGTCACATGAGAAGATGCTTTAACGGTAGCAGTACTCACCTAAAACTATAGCCAACGTCTTAGTAGCCTTTCTTTCCTTCTTCGCTGAAGACTTTTCCCGTTTCTTCTTACTTGCTTTGTTGGCTTTGTAAATTGTGAAGCGAGCGGTAGCAGTGCTGGCCTTTCTTTCTTTCTTTGTTGTCGAACCATCGTGCAGGTCGAAGGTACTAGATTTAATGTCTTCTGAATCTTGATGGACGGCCAGTGATACGTTTCTGATAAATCAAAATTTAACATTTTAAATTACAATAGTATGTAAATAAGGTTTATAATACTGTTGTCATTTCTTATGCTATAAAGTAACGCTTGCCACAAGTCATGCTCGGTGGCAAGCGACACGCCTATCACCCTGAGACATAAAAGTCCCATGTGACTTACAGTGACCTACAGTGATAGTCCATGCACACAGCGTATTTTATACGCGCCGACGACGCACGCTTCACGAATGCAAGTTTTCGGCGCCGTAGAGGCTCAAAACGCAGATTGTTGCGTTTGTGTTGATTCAAACGCGCTTAGAACGTGATACAGACGCGCTCAACAATTTCATGTTGAAGACAACTTTTGTTGTGTTTTTTTACCCATTTCACACTTCGTGTTTAGTGCAGTGCATGCAAAATAAGCACCCAATAACAAATAGTAATAATTTAATAGAGTTACTAAATGATTTCTCTTAAATCTATTTTAGGATATGTTTAAAAATACGCATTGTGGGTGCTTTTATGTTTTTTTAGTCGCTTCACTTCAAACAAAACTAAAACTGGAAATATCTCTTATAAGAATGTGCGATATATACGCGCAACTACAGCGCGTCTGCAGCGAGTATACGCGCAAATGACGCGCGTTTATGGCGCCACCGAATTTGTGAACATGTGCAAAGGTATACTCGCGTTAAAGCGCGTCATCTGCGCGTGTTCGGAGCTCTATTGCAATACGACCTTGTTTTTACACAAAAATAAAACGACGACTTCCAACTGAACATTGTAGTAGTCGATATTCGTCGCTATATTGACGTGAATGCCACGATATGGATAATGTTCCTCTTTGGCGCACTCGTCTCTCCAATCATAACGCACGTCTGGTTTGAATTGAAAAATTTCTTTACTGTCACGTTCTTCTTTTATCTGAATTGATACGCGAATAAGCGTTGGTTTATTAATGTTTCCGATTACCAGAAGTGCCGATCTAAGTACTTACCTCGTATCCTTTCCATTCTTCTTCCACTTCTCATTATCACACGCCATATTTTTTAATACAGTGGCGTCTTTTACTACTGGAGACCCTGGAGGAGACACGTGTTCCCGTGCGGTATCTTCCAGGTTGGAAGGTGCGTACCCTGAGTCATTGTTCCCGTTTGGATCTGGGACGGAAGACTTTGCTTTTTTTTGCTGTGAGCTGAAATCGTTTACCAATCTTGATTAATCCGTACATAATTGTGATTACCTACGTTATTCAAATTCTGTTGAACGAAAGAGTTTTGTGTGTTTATACTATCAATTGAATATTCGCACTTACGTTTAGATTTTTTTAACTGATTATGCCAAGAGGCATTTAGTATTTAAATCGAAAGTGAAAAATAAATGGTGCCGTTATCCATGCGATGTTTTTAGTACTATCTTTTTAATATGTAATTGTATTCAAGTCTGAGAGTGAATAGGCATAACTTAGATGTGTATGCTACATCGTCGACCAGTGCCTCTATCATGAGATTACAGTGGCAATTATCGCTTGCGACCGCGTAAAATGTGTGAATTCAAAATGTTTTTCCTTTTTGTGACCGCTAGAGGCGCTGTATAATTTGCCATACAAAATTGTGAAGTAATTTATGAAGGCGTTAGCGACAACTGTCACAGTAAACTCGCGGTATAGACACTGGCGGTTAGATAATGGTCAAATGCGCAGTTTAAAAAAATACTGAAAAGCTGTTGATTGAAAAAAAGTCCGTCGATCTCTCTCCAATGCCGATTAAAGAGAGTATGTGTTTAAAAATGAGAGAAAATGCGTAGATGTCTATGTTATAGCGTTATTCGTTTGTATCAATTATGATACAAATGAATAATTAATAAGAAAATTATTACTTATTAAATAATAACATGGCAGACAACCATACCAATTAACTGGTCCCAAATTCCTTTACTATGAGTACAATAACAACGGAATTTGATCTGGGAAACTACTCAGAACATCTAGTCAAGAACCAATTTAGAAAATTTAATTTGCCAAATTGGTCCCATCGGTCACCATCGATCACCGAAGTCGTTCTTTAAAAACAACACTTCTAATTTTGAGTTTACAATAAGTCGCTGCCATATTCCAAACCTCACCTGTCGTTTTCCTCAGTGACAGTGGCTAGCATGAACTCCGTGGACTTGTCGTTTGGTATCACATGACAATCATCGATGTCTGTGTCCAGGTTCATTGACTTATCATAACTGAAAACAACATCACTAAATTATTTACCAAAGAGACAAAAGGCGTATTTCAAAACAATACTCCAAATCTAAAAGACTATAACCTCAAAAAGGGAAAAAAAACATAATAATGATGCCGTTTGATGCCGTAATTAAGATACAGCTAATTCTTTATAACTTAACATAGGCTGCTACAGGTCTCGATAAAGACCGACTTTTCATCATAATAACGCATTTAACTTCTATTAGCAGATAACATCCAACGAGGAATCCCCTTTATGGCGTCATGTAATAATTTGTAACGAGACGATTGGGAACATAGCATTCGTAATGATTCAGTATAACTTTAGATCCATTTATAAGTTGTTTGAACATGTAATTTGAGCAACGAAGAAAGTCGAAAATTAATAAGCTCAAGAGTTTTAAAAATGTGTAAATAAAATAACTTTATGAACTAGCCATACATGTTTGCTTATATAATTTTAGATGTTACACAGTCCCCGCGACTTCGAAACCCTAAACTACTTTCGACGTACTTTGCAATTTACTTCGACATTTAGTGAAGAGCAGTAGCATGTCTGTGTTACCACAAGTAACACGATCTTCTTTTACTAATCTCGAGGTTGAAGTACGAGGATAATTTTAGCTATTACTCAGTTCCGAATGCCCTGGAAAACATAATCTATTTTCGATGTACCTTGCAACGTATTTTACGTAGTTTACTTCGACATTTAATGCGGAGTAATGGTATCAATATGTTACTACAAGTGCTGCAATTTTCAATTACTAATATAATTTTAGATGTTACACAATTCTTGATGCTTTGGAAAACTTAAACTACTTTATATGTACTTTGAAATTTACCTCGATATTTACCGTGTCGGGGTACCGACACGTTACTTAAAGTCGAGGACGAAGCGCAAGTATAACTTTAACTATTAGACAGTTCTTGGTGGTCTAGAAAACCCAAACTACTTTCGACGTAATTTACAATTTACTTCGTGAGTTCGGGAAGTTGTTTTTCTCTTTTCCGATGTCGTCGTAATCAGGTACAAAAACATCTGTAATATTTTAGGCAACAAATACCGAGATTTAACCATCGAGTTTTGTAATTCCCAGCCTAAAATGAAAATTTAAAGCAAGTTTCGTAACGTAATTAGCAAAATCAGCGAGGGAAGCGTTCGAGCGCTATGTTAGCTGTCTTTCAGAACAAGAGAAATGTCCATTATACTAAATTCAGATTTAGTAGTTAATTTATGCAGCCATTAATTTTCGTGAGGTATATACTTTATTAATGATAGCACCTGTTACAATTTACAATGTGCAAGAGAATTGCTTTATAAAACTGTGAGTTCCACTGGTGATGTTAATTAAAACGTTTTTGTATTTTTTCTGGGACACACGGGACAACATTTTTATGATTTTATATTTTCTGTAAGTTCCTTCTGCTGCAATTGTCATTACAATAATATTTATACGGCTACCGACTATGTACCATGAACCGCTCATATCACGAAATGCTTTGCTTCCTCCTTCCTAACGGAGCCACCACACTTATCGACATGGCATCTAACTTCCTTCTCGCTGTTATTCGAGAACGTATCATAATAATATTATTATTGATAATATCACTACTTTCATTTATTTCCAAAATTAAATGGAAGTATTAAAGATTTACTTAAATCAGTCACTGATATTAATTCTCTACCAAGACATAAATACAAAAAAGCTTACACTATTTGGAAACTGTTTAAAAATTTTTCTATGATAATATGAATCTTGTGGTAGGAAATGTGTAGGAGATCACCAGATTTATATTTTATTTTATGGTTTATTATTCTGTTTTGCGTCGTCGAAATAATGGCAATTACAAAAATGTTTCCGGTGAAGGCGTTTCATTCACAAGTGTTGTTTTCACTAAATTACACCTTTAACTGATATTTCTTTAATTTTTCAAAATTTGGTGCCATTATGATAAATAAGAAGCTTTTATGATCGATGCTAAATCAAGACCAGAATGTTCCAGATTTATAGAATATATAATAATAATAATAACGCGCACAGACTGATAGCCCCGCACTAGGGAAACCCTGTATCTCGGGTGCCATGGACACACACATAGACAACCACAAATTACACGCCGACATTTATTTCTCTCGTGAGTTTTCACGAGAGAAATAAATGTCGGCCATATAAATATTCGTCCTGATACGGGATTCAAACTCGGGACCTCTTAATGTGGCAGTCCAGTAACCGTTCAGCCACGGAGGCAGTTAAGTTAAGAATTCTTAGCTTTAAGCCAGTTACATAGAACAAGTGAATAATTATGCCATCTAGTGCTTGGTAACGGAACTCCTAAACCAAACAGTTCAATAGGTTTTAATAGAATTGGATTTAGTGTAATCAGTTTCGACGTTAGTAATAGTAAACCTGACTGGATTCAAATAAGTTTTTTTTTCCCAAAAAAATTATTTTTTTTCGTTGGATAATTATAATATCTATATATGTATATCAAACGAAAGACATTAATGCCATTTGATACCATTTCTGCTTTTGGCGATGAAGCACTATGCAAGACGGCTTTTTAAAGCTGTTTACAATCCATTCCAATTCCAACGCGGTCGTGTGAATCTCAGTGATGAATTTCGTGATGGTCGCCCATCGAAAGTGGCGCAAAGAGGCACTTTAGCCTCTAAGTGGATGATTGCTTCTTTTTTAATAAAACTGGACACGTGGCTACTGTTGCTTTGGATAATCATTATACCGTGAATAGTGATTTGTACACGACCTTTTGTTTGCCGGAATTTATTGACAAACTCCGTAAAAATAACCGTAAACATCGTATCATCTTGCATCACGATAATGCCAGTTCTCACACTGCCAAACAGACAAATCAATTTTTGAAGGTGAACAACGTTGACCTTATGAGCCACCACGCGTACAGTTCCGACCTGGTACCTTTTGACTTTTATTTATTTCCAAAAATTACGAACCAGTTACGCGGTCAACGATTTTCATCACCTGAAGAGGCTGTCGAAAAGTATGAAAAGTATGTGTCAGAGATTGTCACGGAGGAGTGGCATAAAAGTTTTCAAAATTGGTTCATTCGTGTGAAAAAGTGCATTAACGCTAATGGAGAATATTTTGAGAAACAATAAATTCATTTCTGACCATTTATAGTATTTTTTCTTATTCATTCCGGAAACTTATGGTGCGCCACAAGTATTATTATTATTGTTGTAAAATGTATGAGTTGTTTATTCAAGGAAAAAATTATTTCTATTTCTAAGTACTGAATAATGTTAGTAGCATAGTTATTACCTATCTTCATGATCGTCTTCATTGCTCCCCGAGCCCGTGTTAGTAGGCCGGTCGTCGTGCAACACGGTTTCAGCCAGTTGCCGCGTCTGCGCTACGTTTTCTATTACCACTGCCGTCGTCATTCCCGTCGGGTGGTCAGACATAGGTGGCTTCTTCGCTGCTCCGTGTTTCTTTGCTCTGATTCTTAACGCCTGCAAATCATCGATTTATGAAGAATATGTAAATAATGGGTAGAAAGAACGTATACAAAATTGCTATCAATTTTAGATTCGACAGACTAAAATCTACACCATTCATTTAAATCAATACATCCACCGACTAAAGCACGTAAGTCAAATTCATTTACTTCAACTCAAATTGTAACGGCGACGTCTTTTTCAATTTTATGGTTTTATTAACGTCTTCGTCTTTTGTTTGTTTATTCCTCTGGCCTATCGCACATAATAACTAACAATATTAATTAAAAAAAAATGCCTTATATTATACGATTTAATTTCAAAGTGTGACAACACTGTCACTTTGAAATTAATGGTATACGAATGACATACATGTAGCCCAGTTTTTGAGACAAAATATAATGTAATATATGTTTTGGGATGATCTATGAATGATTGAATTGTTATTTATTGCAAATAAAATTATAGTTAAAATACATAATAGCTTAAGTATAATAATAGTTGTAAGTCAATGTGCAGGCAATCTTAGGACAGACATTTGAGATATGCAAAAGTGGTGCAACCAAAGTACACTAAATAATAAGTAATAATAAAAATACATACATACGTAGGTAGATACACACATACATAAAATAATAGAAATACATACATAACAATAAATAAATAACAATATTGAATGCTTATATATTTTTAAAGGAAAAAGAAAAATTAAGTATAAATATAGAAAATAAATTAAAGGATAGTAGACGACAGATGAAAAATTTAGGAATTGAGGAAGTGATCCTTGACACGTTGCTTAAAGGAATCAAGAGAGTCATCGAATTGATTTAGGGAAAGAATTCCACAATCTGGTCGCAGAAACGGTAAATAAATTGGAATAAAAGTTAGAGGTATGATATGTTAAGTTTGAGAGTATCAGAGGAGTGAAGGGGGCGGCAGAGTGTAGAAGAGTGGAAAGTAAAGCGATCTTTAAGATAAGAAAGCGTAAAGGGATAGAATAGCATTGAGTAAAGAAGGAAAAGGATAATATATATAAATACTGTGTTAGTTGCCATGTGCATTATGTGCTTAAGCCTGTCGACCTTAGAATTATATTTTAAAGTTTTAATGTCTGTATATCACTAAAGCAATAAATTCAATTTTATTATTGGTACTGAATTAAATTTAATATTTTCTCAAAAAAAAAATTAAATAGGTAATAAGTTAACCAAAAACCTAATAAACAAAGAAGTGAATGTTACTCACTCTAAAAATATTATAGTAGAGAAACATCATCATAATACAGGGGATATAAAAGGAGCCAAGTGACGAATAGATGACGTAATTCTGACTATTGAAGAGGCACTCGTCGTTTTGCCTGTCCGGCGTGTCGTTGAGACCAAGAACGATGGGAGCTCCAATGGCGGCCGATATTAGCCATACCAGGACTATCGTGAACCATACTCGGCAATTGTTCTTGTGTTTCGCATATTTTATAGGTTGAGTTACTGCTATGTACCTGTGAAATACACACCAATTTTTTTTACAATCCTCCATTAAAAAGGCAAATTTAGAATTAATACGTAAGGGCACGTTCCCATTATGTTGTGACCACAGATAGTCTTGCAGTTTAAAGTGTTGTTCACGACTTTTTTGACGTTACGACGACAGTCAGTCAAGACAATGGAAAGAGCTACAACACCAGTCGTCTGACGATAAATAAAACATCACGATAAAAACGTAACAACAGATCCGATGATCGCAGCTACTATTGTCGTCACGTTTTTATTTATCGTTGTCTGCACGTGTTTTGCTCCCTACTCTCCCCTCTCGTCCCCCGTGCCCTCGGCTGAGCACCAAACTATTTTGTCGTGCAAACGACAAGGCGGCTGCCGTGATCCGATAAATTGTCGTCGCGATACAATGGAAATAGCTAGACACGACAGTCGTAATAAAACGACCACGACACATAAAAGCGACAGCCGTCCAAGGATAAGTAAAACGTTACAGTACAAATCGTTGGGACACCGAGGTCATCTAGAAATGATGAATTATGGAGTAGGATCTTCCACACGGTTTTGTTATAAAGGTGTATGCTAAAACTCTAAAATTGATGACTCTTGAGAAGTTACAAAGAAACATCTAAATATTAGCGTTGATTAAGAAAGTTTGAGTAGGGAAACGCATATTTAACGTAGAGTCTCAAGGAAACTTTATGGACTTGTACGGTATTACAAACTTATCTCTCTGCATAAACACTTGCAGCATGTCTCATATGAGAATATTGAATAATGTTGTAAAGTTTTGGTCGTAAGGAAAAAAGCAACAAAACAGGTATTATAAAATCCTAATACGACTTTTTTACTTCTGTGTTATCTGATTTGGAAATTGACTATTGTTTTTTTGGAAAATTTACCGTGTTAGTGTTTATTTGGTGCATATCATGATGTTTTACAACTTTAATTGGCTCTGAATCTCTTGAAGTTAAAAAATATACTTTGCCTATCCCGGTCTTTGAATATAACTAACAACTCATTCGTTTTCAACGCAGTAGTGTTACTTGATTTCAGTCTTTGTACATTTATAGTTAACGTGGTTTTAACTCACCTATCAATAGATATAGCTACTAAGTTGAATATGCTGGAGGTCGAAGAGGTGACGTCCATCGCGATGTAGATGTCGCACGTGAACGCCGGAAGACCCCATGACCGATTTACCTGTAAACAACGAGATTTGAGGTTACAACTTTTACTTTTAAATATGCAGAATAAATTAGATTAATAATAAGCCTCCGAGACTTAGATGTTTTTTTTATAACCTATTCTGTCCCATTGCTAGGCAAAGGTCTCCCCCAAAATCCTCCACTGCTCCCTGTCTTTGGCGATGTTCCACCACTCCCTCTCAAACCCATCAAGATCATCCCGCCAAGGCCTTCTCGGCCGTACCCGCGTTCGCCTTCCATCCTCAGCCACCCAAGGAGTGACGAGACGTTCGTCCACTTCTCGGGTTCCATCCGGCTAATATGGCCCGCCCAATCCTATTTGAGCCTAGCTGTTTTGCTCCCCACATCAGTAATGCCAGTCATCAGCTGCAGCATTGTATTGCGTACTCAGTTAATACGTTTAAAGCCCAGAATAATGCGTCCCATCGCCCTCTGGCATCTGGGATCTTGAGTTTAGACTTCTGGAAGTCGGTCGGCGACCATGTCTGTATGCAGCATAAATTTATTTTAATAATAATAAGCCTCAGAGATTTAGATCTCTAAATAAATGCAATAAGCGCCATCGCGAGAAACTAGAATAGCTTTGATAAAGTACAGCTTGTCAATATAAAACAAATTAGTTGCAAAAATAGCTATTTGGTACACGTGGCGACATCTGGTGTACCAAAAGGTAAATACCCAACCACGCCATCTTGTATCGCGATTAGTAGTCTTCTTGATTTATTGGTCCTTGGTAATAATAATGTGCAAGACAACCACGTACTTATTACCCGCTCTCAAGCTAGGAAGTTCCCTGTACCCAGCGGAACGGTATTCACTCTGGGGCACATCCCATAACAACCAGAGCAGAAACAATTTAGAAAAAGTCATTGGCCAAATTGATTCTTGGTAAAGCCCGGGACCTCCGCATCCAGCGCCCAAAGTGTAAACCGATAGAAAGAAAGAAAGAAAGGGAATTTATTCAGTACAATAATTACAAAAGCAGCTTAATAAAATACGTTCGTGCCCCAACCGATTTTCAGTCGAACATAAACTACGAGACTCAAAAAACGCGACTCACAACTCACAAGTCTGGCTTCACCCATAGTTCAGGTATATTTAGAGAAGATTTAAGGTAAGTTAGTTTAAAAAGTCATGGGCATGAACAAGCACTGGCTCAACATAAATGCTGCTGATGTCCACTAACCTAATATTCCCTCAGGGCCCTATTAAAAGAGATCTATGGTTATAATTTAGTGGTGTAAAGCTCAAATAAGACTATACGAGGGGCGGATGAAAAATCTCTTTTGACTATTTATAGTACGTACGTAGTAGGACGTATACGTTGTTTATTCTTTTTTCAAAATGAGTGACTTTTTGTTTATTACTTACTTTGATTTGCATATGCCTTGCATAGACAAAATAAGTAAAAAGTAAAAAAATTTGCAACATCTTTTTTAACAGACTACATTTCATACTGAAGAAACAAAAATAGCCATAGTCGTCATTTATTTCATGCATAAGTAGATTACTTTTCAGCCGCTTCTCGTGTCTCTGTACTTCCACCAGAACCATTTCAGCTTAAAGACGTCTAAGGCTGGATAAAGACCTCCTTAAAAATTGCCACAACGACCGGTGTTTCTGCTTCGTGCTTTTTGAAATAGATTACTGCTACCTCCAGGAGGTCATCAGTCGATCTCGTAGGTGGTCTGCTCACACTTCATCTTCTAGCATGCGGTCTACACTCGAAAACTCTTCGAATTCAATTTCAAGTTCAAAACTTTTATTTCGGACATTCATCTGTGCCAACAAGTTGCCCCTCGCTACCAGCGCCCTACACTTTCTTTCTATCTACAGATCATCTTTTAATGACTCTGTGACCTACTAGCCTAGGTACTGTGGGAACGTAGCCTTGGCAACAGTGCAGTGAGAGATACTATTTAATATTAAACGAGGAATATAATCTATTTTTTTCATCTCTCATCATACTCTTTTGTTCATCTAGTTCTAAATATAAAACCACCTTCTTATTTTTATACAGTTCTAAATATAAAATAATAATATAATCTATCCAGCCTACGCTACAGTACCTACTTCGATTCGGTGACACTTTTAAGAGGAGTGCCACACAGTGTAACTTCTTCTACTGCTTTATACACTAGCAACACAATATATGTCGCGTTGTACCTAAGGCCATCAGCCTCTATGTATTTTTCACAAGCAACTTTTCGACCATCTTCTCTGGCTTATGTTGCTTAATCAGGATCAAGTCCTGTTTTAGTTTAATAGTTTAATTGGTCCTGATTAAGCCTAAACCAGGGTCAATTGCAAATCTCCTATATCCTATATAAAGGATTAAAAGCTTTGAACAATGTTACTTCATAAAAATAACTAGTAAATGTCCATTTATCGGCAGTTTAACAACAATTGAAAACACACGAAAACATATACCGGATGGAACATTGTATAAGTTCCGGGGATATCCGGAGTGTCGTCATACCAACATCCGGTATCTGTTCACTTCCGGCGGTCATTACGTCGCTGTATTGTGTTGAGTCTTTTGTTATTTCTCGTTTTATTGGTTTTTTTTTTCTATTTGTAGGATGAGGTGCACCGTACTTTTGGGGAGAAACTTGTTTGCAATTAAGTGTTAGCACGCCAATATTCGAGCAATCTGTCGTAACTGCAACACAAAATATAGGTATTTTTTTATTCATTTGCGAATTATTTTTACGTTCCTGATCAAGTCTGGTTAAAGTTCATCGTGATCATGATGGCTTCAACGACTATTTTATTACTTGAAAATAAAACTCATAATTTATGCAATTAGAATTTTTATAAGTTATGAATGTATGCTTCGCTTATCTAGGTACTAGATAACACAGAATAAATATGAAACTGAAATATAATATTTGGTTAAAAAGAATAAAACCAAAACATGTCATTCGCTCCCATTACCCCATAGTTCGGGAAATGAGAGCCGGCAAGCATCCTGTATGTCAAATAGGGGCCATTATTAATAAATAGTCTGAAAAATATACAAATTAAAATAATGAAATAGATAAGTTAAGTTAAAAACAGAAAAACAGAAAGTAAACAAGATAGTGTTAAAGGTATGTGGAATATCCAGTAGATACTGCAATGGGGTAAGGAGAGCCAAATAGCTGTCATTCGCAGCGTAACATCAAAAAAAAAAAAACAATTATAACATTTCTATTTTTAATGTAATTTTAAGCATATCACCTACAATTCGATAGATATGGTCACATAGCTAGTATTCATCATATTAATTTCCTGAACTGGCCACTTACATAAACAATATATAAAAAGTAATTACAACATTTGAAAACGGAACTCTTTGGCTGTAGAACACAGTGTGTTTCATCTGACTGTCACTTGTTTTTACATTAAGGCGTAATTTTAGAAATTGGTTGTCTACATCACCATGGATTTAACTCTTGAAAATTTTCGTAGTATGATTTTGTACAAGCTTAAGTGTAAAATAACAGCTCAGCGGAGCTTCGCTCGGCTTCAAACTGCTTTTGGCGATGAAGCACCATGCAAGACGACTATTTGTATCTAGTTTGCAGAATTCCAACGCGTTCGTGTGAATCTCAGTGACGAATTTCGTGATGGTCGCCCGTCGAAAGTGGCGCAAAGAGGCACTTTAGCCTCTAAGTGAATTATTGCTTATTTTTTTTATAAAACTGGACACGTGGCTACTGTTACTTTGGAGAATCGTTGTACCGTGAATAGTGATTGGTACACGACCATTTGTTTGCCGAAATTTATTGACAAACTCCGTAAAAATAACCGTAAACTTCGTATCATCTTGCACCACGATAATGCCAGTTCTCACACTGCCACACAGACAAATCAATTTTTGAAGGTGAACAACGTTGACCTTATGAGCCACCACGCGTACAGTTCCGACCTGGTACCTTGTAACTTTTATTTATTTCCAAAAATTAAGAACCAGTTACGCGGTCAACGATTTTCATCACCTGAACAGGCTGTCGAAGAGTATGAAAAATATTTTTCAGAGATTGTCACGGAGGAGTGGCCTAAATGTTTTCAAAATTGGTTAATTCGTATGAAAAAAATATACGCTCTTATAAAATGAGATTAAAAAATTTCAAAATGATCTCACTTAAAAAGCGCAGAGATCTATTGGACCTAGCCTTCCTTCACAAGTTATTTAACAGGATTGACTGTCCACAACTGCATCAATGTTCAAAGTAAGCGTTCCCCATCGATGCCCGGTAAGAAGATAGTTGCTCTTCTGTCACCACCACACTGGAGAACGAAATTGGGTCTCACCGGTCAGCCGTCTATCCAGACTACACAATGAGTATAGTGCTACAGTAGATATTTTCTCGGACTCGATACCCGTTTTCCGCAAGGCAATCCTTAGCAAGGAAACAAGCAGTATTCGTAGCATTAATTGCAAAAATGTATGCTACACTAAACCAGTATAGGATATTTTTTATTCTGATTGTCATGTTTATAGTTTTCTTTGTATAAATACAACTGTAATATTAACACTATTCTGCTCTATTTAATGCAAGCTGTGTTTTATCTTTAAATAGTTGTGTATCTACCTAAACACCCTCACCATTGTAAAACCTACACGTATAGATGTAACAATTGCTGATGAACCTCAATAAATAAATAAATAAATAAGTGCATTAACGCTAACGGAGAATATTTTGAGAAAGAATAAAGTCATTTCTGATGATTTATACTATTTTTAACCGACTTCAAAAAAGGAGGAGGTTCTCAATTCGACTGTATGTTCTTTTTTTTTTTGTATGTATGTTACGCGATAACTCCGGTATTTGTGAACCGATTTTCATGATTCTTTTTTTGTTGGAAAGGGTGTATTACCATAGTGGTCCCATTTCATTTTGAAGAAAATCATCCACCTCAAAGGGTGGCTGTTGACGCATGAAGATTCATTTTTATAAATAGCGCCTAACTTTAATTTAGGAGCAATTACTTTTAGCAATTATTTAGTTGATTTTGCTATTTCTCCAATTCAAGGCGTTTTTCCCTCGATATACTTTGGGTAGTGTCGTAGTGAGAACCTATTTTTATTATCTCCAGTATCAAGTCCTGTATAGTGGCGAACTAGGGGATATTTCAATGAAACTTAGCAAATAGACGTAATTCCACGTACTTTTGAGGTCGGTTTTTTTAGTACTCTGTACTGAGATTATTTCTTATTCATTCCGGAAACTTGTAGTGCGCCTCACGTATAAATACAATGGTATCTATGCATTTTAATGCTTACCTGGGATGATGAAATTTGGCAATTTTATAAACGGGGAGTGAAAAACACACAACCATCTAAAACGACTAAACGCGGAGTTCTGCGGGGGCGGTCGCAAAAGACGAACGTTGTTGAACATTAACGAAGCCATAGGAGCGCCGTTTGTACAAATACGAGCATTGGGAAAGTCCAGTTTAATACTGCTCTCATTACCCTTGGGCTCCCAATACCCCACGTTCCCCTACAATTAGATTTTAACAGAATGACAATCATCATCATTATATCAGCCGGAAGACGTCCGCTGCTGAACATTGGCCTCCCCTAAAGATTTCCAGACCAGCCGTTCGGACGCGACGTGCATCCATCAGTTACCCGCCGCTGATTCGGTCACGTAGAGAAATGCCGAGCATTGCTCGCTCCGTAGCTCATTGAGTGAGTTTGAGGTTTTTATGAGGCCCATAGTAATTGACCACGTCTCAGAGCCGTAGGTCATCGTTGGCAAAACGCACTGCTCGAAGACTTTTGTCTTCAAGGACTGCGGTATTGCGGACCAAAAAGCGTCCCGGAGCTTCCCGAAAGCTGCCCAACTGAATCGGATTCGACGGTTGACCTCTTTCTCGAAGTTGGCCCTGCCTAATTGAACAGTTGGTCCGAGGTAGACATACTCATCAACAACTTCGAGAGTAGAGGTTTCCACTGTTATATAATAACAAATATTATTATAATTATAATATAATCTCAATGAAGACTCAACGGAATTACCTAAGAAAATTAGCAGAATTGGGCCTCTGTTCACACACCGCTTGTGTGTCATCATGAGAGCCTTGCGCTAAA